TTTGCCTCTTTTAGCTCCCCAAAGCTTTCTGATTTCTTCTATCATTACTGGTGGGGTGTCATCTCGGTTACTTCTACTTCTTATAGCACTAAAGTCGTGGTTGTCCCGGCTACTGTACAAACATCTGTAAAACTCCCCCGCTATTTTAACTATCCTATCCATATTGGTAGTTATTTTGTCTTCTTTGTCCCTTAGTGCATACATCCGATTTTTGCCTATCCCAAGTTTCCTCTTCACTGCTTTGACGCTTCCTCTGTTTTTCAGAGCGTGTTCAGTTCTCTCCATGTTATACCTTCTTACATTGGATACCTTACACCTATTAATCAATTTCGAAAGCTCTGCCAGTTCTATTTAGTCTGTTTTACTTGAGATGTCATGATTTGACACTTATTAACGAGAATCTTCGTTTCCTGGGAAAGCTTGCCAGTTTCCTGTCTAACTATCTTGCCTCCAACTTCCACTGCACACTCCGTAATGATACTCGTGAGGTTATGGTTCATTGTGCCTATGCTAAGGTTGGTTTCCTTACTAAGAGCCGAGTACCTGTTCTGAAGCGAGACTTTGAATTGCTGCACTTTCCTCTCAGTGCTAGCTGATTGATTGGCCTTTTGCGTATCAGTTTCTGTCGTCCCTTCCCCAAGTCTAGGCGAATTCGAGACCGTCTCATTCTATGGTCACTGCATCGTACCTTGCCAACCACTTCCACATCCTGCACGATGCCTGGGTGTGCACTCATTATAAAGTCTATTTCGTTCTTATTTTCGCCATTAGGGCTCCTCCATGTCCACTTGCGGTTTCCTCGTTTTCGGTAGAAGGTATTCAAAATTCGTAAATTATTGCGTTCTGCAAATCCTACTAGTAACTCTCCTCTGGCGTTTCTAGTACCGATGCCATAATCTCCTACTGCCTGGCCTCCAGCCTTCTTCTTCCCTACCTTTGCATTAAAGTCTCCCATCAGTATTGTATACTGTGTTTTTACCTTACTCATTGCCGATTCTACGTCTCCATAGAAGCTTTCAACATTCTTTTTATTGTTTTATTACTTGTCTCTAATGTCAGAAGAACAAACTGCAGCACTTTTCACTGCACATATACGCGATTCCTAAGTAGTGGTAATCACTCGCAATGTGCAGGTGCATAGATTATAGACCAGGAACAAGAGTCTGAACGTGTTTTACTCTGTCATGATTGAAGAGTATAGGAGCATTTCACTCAGTGAGAGGCATAGTGAGTAGTTTCACTCCTTTTTCATACTGACTGAGAATGCCCTTCACTCTCTCCGATTCTTCGTAAAAGCAGAAGAACACTTTTAAGAGTAGCTTGGCCTTTTTATTCCTGCGATACCGTCAGCAGTTCTTAGAGTGTGGAGGATATTTGCTCCAATTTTAGGGAGGTGAATTACGGCTGTAAGAATTACGACTTGATGAACCAAGCTCAAAAGCAAGGTCAGGATGTCTTTCAGTGGCTTTGTTTCATGCATATCTCTTCACTCGAGTGCATTTATAGAACAGCAAGGGCCCGGCCCGGGCATGGTTCAATCGGGCCTGGAACAGGCTCGCGCCCATGAGCTTCGAACTCGGGTCAGGCTCGGGCCTGGGTAAGGCCCGTATTAGTCTCGGGCCTCGTACATATTTGCATAAGTGCATGTGTACACTGTTTCGCTTTGTTGTTTTGTAGGGTTAATCGTCTGAAAAAGACACAGGTGAAATGAGATGCACTAGTTGATGACTTCGAGTAGCCAAGACTTCCTGAAGTTCATTATTGTGCACTTAAATTGTAATGTAAAGATGTTTATCATTTTGATTCTTTCGGTTAGCTAACTAACTTCCAATATGCTTTTAATAAATGTTTCTGCTATTACAGTGGGTAAAAGATGCTCTTGAATGCCGCAATTAAAAATTTCCCTGGCGGTACTGCTACAAGAGCAACGGTACACTGTTTATATTAGTGGAGTATGAGATTTACGCCAACGCCGGATGAGCCTCGACCTTAAGGAGCTTCGTTCAACGTTCATCGCTCAACACTCAACGATCTGTTCACAGCTGGTGAACACAACGTTCCAAGCTCAAGACTCAACGCTCTGTTAAACAAAAAGAACGGAAAAAACATACACGCAAAGGTATACACAGGTTGAGCGCGAACTAACTAGTGTCACATTTGTTAATTTGCTGTATTTGAAAAGTACGCACTTTCTGCAAATGTATAGCCTGCAGCGAGTGAAGTGACCTTTGCGCGCCCTGTAACTACAACACAGTCATTCCGGCGAAAGCTAAGAACGCACAATTTTGCCGCACCGTGATATAAGCGGGTACGCAAACACGCGAGAGCCTGCACCACAGGGCGAAATTCACGAGCGGGCCATTGAGCACGCCCTTGGCGCCATCTCGCTGAAAAGGCGGAGAACATGTTGATAAACCCACGGAGATTTTTATAAACACACTAGAGGAAACTCGTGCGCTTGTGTCAATAGCAGCTACAATGTACGGTGCTTCAGTGAGCATAAGAATCATGGGTCATACATGGATTTCCCTGCTCTTCGTACTTCATGCTCCGTTTGGCCTCACATGGCTTGAACCTGCTTTGTCACAAAACGACCATCAGCAATAGTTTTTCAGTCTCACTTCACCACCTTATTCTTTAAGACTCACTGATTCGAGTCGGGTCGGAAACTTCAAAGCGATTTTTTTCTTTTTTTCAAAAACAAAATCAAAGCACTGTTATAAATGAATCCACAACTGAGTCCGAAGCCTACAAGCACAAAGACAAGCCAAATTCATGTACTACACACTCATCGTTCCTAATGTCGCCGAACGATCAATCGCAGCGCCAGAGTCCCCACTAGTTAATTTTATTAAACTCTGTGGATATTCTCCCGAGATTGGCATACAGCCAAGGTGTGTGGTAAATATGATAGCTCGCCGTTAAAACGACAAAGGAAGAACGCTTTCATGACCCAGTGGCTACGCTTTGATCTTAGCCAAGAGGTCGAGGCTAAGGCGGTGCTCTGCGGAGCGAGAGGTCGCCTGTTCGATTGCGCCCGTGAAGAATTATATTTTTGATGGAATTTTCTTCTTGGTTCTTTTATATATATATATATATATATATATATATATATATATATATATATATATATATATATACGAAGCATGGCGGCATCATCTAACGGTGATGGTGGTGCCGACGGCAAAATTAGGCTGAGAGCGTTTACGTTATTGTTATCGCAGTGAAACACGTATGCACTATCCACAGATAGTGAAAATGATGAAAGGAACGAGACGATGCACAGTCGCGGCTCCTATTGCTCGCAGTGCATCTGTGGCCACATGATGGTGCGTTCCTCTTCGCGCTAGACCTTCGACAGCGGTGATCTCATCGGGAGGGGAAGGCAAGAGAGACAATTGGAACTTTTCTTTATTTTCTTATTTTGGGAGCCCTTATTTTCTGAAAACTTAATTGCTTTACCGGTGGCTGGTGCACGCTCTTCCAGCTCACGGCGACGGCCGGTGTGGCATTGCTAGCACTCTCCGTCGCTGGTCTCGTACCGACGGCGTAGCGGGGCCTCTCACCGCTTAGAAATTGAAGCCGGTGCCCCGCCAACGCACTCCTTGGCACAACCTTTCCCGCCGGTCAGGACTAGTGGTGCAACCGCCATAGGCTTCACGCCAGCCGACTGCCGGCTCAATACCCATGACGTAGCGAAACCTGCTTCAGAACACTTCGGTGTTGTTGCTGTGTAAACTCCAGAATCAACCACTAGCGATGACAACAGCTTATGCTTTTGTTACCGTTAAAATTGTTATTTTGCCCGTGAAATTATCGTAGGATAAAGCCGGACTTTCATGAAGAGAGTCTTCATTGTGGCCAACAGAGTTACAACGCTAACTCACATGATCTGTCAGTACCCTGTGAAAATTGGCGCTGATTATGTGAGGAGAACTAGTGGCAGCGGAACTTATACAGCCGGATTAGGGTCTACAACTACTGGCTGTCCGGAGGGCCCCGGCTATCGCGGAGGCTTTCCACTTTCTTGTGCTGACCTGGGTGGAGCCGCTGACTGTTTTTAGGACTTCGTCCAACTAGTCCCTCTACTGTTTTAATGAATTGTTTTGCGCGTCGCAATTCTTCGTCATTCGGCACGTTCCGATGAGATACCCATGGATGTATTGGGGGCACCGCGTTGGCGGGGCCACTCATTGGCAGAAACAACACGGAACAGCGAACTCCGTGTGTTTGAGGTGAGATGCTAGCGAGAGTTCAATTCGTCTGTCCAGGGTTCGTCAGCGGGGAAATTAGCCCTACACGTTTATTCACCCTCACGCCCTAAACACACACACAACCAAACACGTGTGCGCACACGCACAAAGACACACGTGCGAACGCACGGTGCTGGTCAAAATGGTTTTGGGAATGCACATTACAAGATTGAGACCACGTGTATTATCCCCTTGGAGGGTATATCAAGTTCGCATCACACATATATATATATATATATATATATATATATATTCCGTCACGTAGCAATGGAATGGCAATGAAGACGTATGGCGTGTTCAGTCCTCTATGGCGGACTAAACGGTGTGCCCATATGAGCTTTGGGGGCCGAGAAGCTTACAAAATTGCTACTTTGGCAAATTTTTGCTTACAGTGTAGTTTCTTCATAGCGCCTGTTAAGTGAATGACTTTTCGTAAAGTGCAGGCGTATTAAAAACTGTGCGTTTGTGTTTACTTTTACAAAATGTTTACCAAGCGAGGTCTTGAACACAGAGCCCCGAGTCAGCTCACTCTAGTAGGCCTCCTAAAAGCATAACAAATATTAATCACAAACTTCAGCAGTTATATATAAACATTTATCGAATCAAATCGATGCTCTCAGATGTGGTAACACGAAAGGATGAATATGATGCCTTGCATGCTACTAGGTGTAATAATGCTCGCAGTTGCCTGCCTCCTGTAGAGTAGGTGGCATGAAATTGAACGTGACTTGCTTATTTTGTGTGCAGGGATGCCCTGATTGTATCCTGCATCAACAGTGGTACCTCCATGTTCGCTGGCTTCGTCATTTTCTCGGTGATAGGATTCATGGCCCACTCACAGGGGAAAGACATTGCTGATGTCGCGGCCTCAGGTAGGAGACTGTTATTGTTGGTGTTTCTTAAAATCAAGGCGTGCCGCTAGAGCTTTTCTATCACGTGTTTTTGCGGGAAAAAAACCATTTGTTATTGCGCATATCCAAAGCATTCCTTCCTAAATTATGCGCAAACTAAATGGCCAGAGAAACGAACGCCACATGTAAAAAGGTATTCCCAGGTATTCTGTTATAAGAGAATTTCATGAACTTGCCGTAGGGGTCGTCTGCGCGCGCTTATCTCGTGATCGAACAAAGGGAGGAGGAGGGTAGGTGCGTGGGCTTATGGTTGCCGCGCTGTCGCGGCAGTGATCAGCGCGTGGCTCTGGTCTCTATAGCAGGTGGGCGCTTCTACAGGCTGCGCTCTCAACACACACACACACACACACACAAGGAAACGGTGCCAAAAGTGTAGCTGGAGCAGCCGTCTACATATATATGTGCTCTACACGTAAACTGCCTAGCAGTGGCGAAACATGATGTATAGCCCTTCAAGGAGGTTTATAGAAATCTTACTAGAGTGGAGGTCGCCTACACATACCAATGGGGTGCAGTGAGGCCATGGCGGCTATTTTTCTATAGGCAAGATAGGGTAGCCAAAGCGCGCCTGCCACTTCTTTCCGCTGTGGTTTTGAATAGTTTTTGGAGGACATAAAGTAGGTAAATTGTGAAGAATAAGAAGTTGAATGGCAAATAAAAATACAGTCGATCTTACTCTGTTTTTTAAGCGTTTTCTTTGCGAGCGTGCACACCGATAAGACCTCCTCGACATTCATTTTCTAGTTTATTTTATTCCTCAAATTACGCAATCTTATGGATAAGCAGATTTCGACCACTTTCTTGAGTGAAATTTAAAAGTAGGTGTCCCAAGCTTCACATGTTCAAAAGGATATTCTCATCGGAAAAAAATGTACGTATGTATGAGAGAAAGCTGCAAGGAGCCTCCTCCCTACTCTCAGAAATTGGGTTTTGATTCTTGATTCCTTTTATTTTAGCTTGAGGATAAAGCCTCGCTCTTTCGTTCACTGCGATTTTTCTGTGGTAGAATTTCTTTTGAAGCCATTTTAGCTCCCCTTAGGAAACAAGAACCTTTTTTTTTCGTGAGAGCTACCGTACGTGTAGTGGATGCAACGCTCACATCTTCAAGTTTATTACATATAACGGCACGAGTACCCCTCAGGTATAGTCATTTTCTTTGCGGTTAGTTGCATCACAAACATTGCACAGTTCCAACACTGGTTTTTACTCGCTGCAGTTCAAGTAACAAAATAAAAGGGCATGAATGTAAAAAAAATACAGGTCCCTGTGTGTTGCCCAAACAATGTTAACTACCCTCGTGCTAGTGAGTTAAGCTTCTAATTACCACAACTACGCAGAAAAGTCATAGCCAGAGAATGGCACACCGGGACCGTGCTCTCCCCCGTCTCCCCAAAATTTTCCCTTGAAATGACAACAAAGTGCCCCCTCTAAAATTTTGGCTGCGCAAGGTTTATGACTGGGGCTAGTTCGTAAAGATCCATACCCTCCCCCCCCCCCGCCAGTAAAACGTTCGCTACGCAAGGCTTATGACCAGGATAGTTGGCGAAGATTCGTAATAGCTCACAGCGCACTCATTTCGTCCTTGTCGTGCGCTGTGAGCTATTCTGGCCACGCCCCTGGTAGTAATAAAAAATACACTGACGGAGACGTACGCCTATTTAATTTCAACGAATAGTAAACGGTGTGTTATTTTCCCACCCGCTTACCACTCTAGTGGTATCAACAAGCACAAGAACGTGTATCAGTGGACATTGCAGGTGTTTTAGAGACGCGTCCAGCCTAGCCGAACAACTTTGGGGTCACAGTCCAGTCTAGTTGTAACAATTCTACAAGTGTCTCTAACATATGTGGTCGCTGTATTTTCGCTACCAGTCATCCCGTCATCAAATGACACACGTTTTCTACAGCACGCCTTGAAGTGCTTCGAGAATGGTCCCTTGTTAGTGAAAAAAAAAATGACCGTGAAATATGTGAAGACAGGTTTACAGCTATCAATATGCATGTGTTCCGGCGTACAGTTTTCATCAAGCTTGAAATATGATACCCGCAACTGAAACGTCATTCCAGAACACGTTATCGCTTGGCCTATGTAGACTTGAGAAAGACACGATGTATGAATTACAACGTCCGGAGGCTACAACATCGACGAACATGTGGAGCATATGTGCAGCCGTAGCCGCTTGACTGGCGGAGGGCACGCTTTCTGCCGATGGCAAGATGGTGGCGCGCGGCTTCACCTGAGGGCCGCCTCTTCCACTGCAGCAAATATTACTTTCACCCCCTTGTAGCCCTTAGTGCCAGCATGCGCTGCCCACCGGAGGCGCTTCTGTTTAGTGCCGTCACTACGCACAAGTCTTGTTGTGGTCATGTACTGTGACTGCGTCGCAGGAAACGGTTACGTAGCAAGTTCATGTTTATTACAAATAATATTGATCCTAAAATGCTACAGCCTCGCTTCGTAAAACGTTCGAGTATGTTGCTATCGCATACATTGCATCGCTCTTTTCGTGAAACTGTGACTTTTTTCCACCACTGCAAGCCAGCCCAGATAGATTGCAAGGAAAATTCGTTCCTTAATTTTTTCATTGGTAACGCGAACGCGCAGGCATCGATGGGATTGATTAATTGATGGAAAACTTTATTGGACTGTTTACAATGTGCTCTGACTTCTTGGCTTCAGCACAATGGTATAAAAAATTGAAAAAAAATGACCGAGAAACGGGCACAGGCTTTCATCCAGGCGCAGGGAAAGGAAGAACCCTTGTGAGGCTTCTTGATGACAAAGAACACACAAGTTTATTTGCATATTTACAGGTGTGAAGAACACTAGGCGTCGAGAAGCGCTTTTACACCAGACAAGACCGGCCGTAATAGACCATTTCGCCGGAGCCTGCCAATTCCTGCAACATTGTGCGTTCACCGGAAAATCATCCCTGAAAACTTCCGGTTTAGCTTGCTCTTGCGTGGTTTTAGCGTTTCTTTCTGGCCGTAACTGCTTGTGTTCAGATGTTTTATGCACATAAAATTATGCCTGCAAAGCGCTGGCAACTCGCACAGCTTACTAAAGTCAGAATACAGTCAGCGTACCCGAATTAATTTTATATGCTAGTCAAAACGTTGTTTTGTCACCAATGACAATAGAAAGAGCGCCTGAATTGCAGCGATCACGCGAAAAAACTGGATTCTCGCTAAGAGCACGTTGGTCTGTTCTGTCCCTTTCATCAAAGGCAATGTAAAGCTCAGCGCAGACTAGTGGCACAGCGGCAATACTCAGACGTTGGACTAGTCAAAGACCCCAGTTACTGGGAGCACATCGGTCGCTGTCCTCTTCCACACGTGACGCCTCAAATGGGTATTAAAACGTAAAAGCTAACCGCGAAAAGTCATTGCAAAGCTGTTCATTTTAAAGTTTAGGCAATAACAATGATGTGTACTGTTCTGCGAAACACAGGACACAAAGTAGCCTCGCTTAGCATGAATCACAGCACAACATGTACGTCGTGGTGACCACGTTTTGTTGTCATTGCATTTAGTTTTTTTAAGTGATGCGCTCGAGTGGGCTCTAATCTGTGCTAGCGAATAGGACTCATCAGCTGTCTTTCTGTCGCTAATGAACATCGCCGCATTGAAGCTAATTTATATTTTGGGTATGAACATGGAATGTATATTTAGGTAGGTTCGACTTGAAAGTTTGGTTCATGAATAGCTTACTCGAGAGTAAACCATGATTGTTCCTGTGACCCTGCAGCCGCAGCTGATTTATAACTTCAGTACATTTTATAATTTCTCAGTCACACGCACATGTGAGATTTCGAGCGATTCTGATCGCCGCTGATCACATTAAAAAGTGCGGTGTGACACACACGTAGAAGTAAGTGCTTCATTCTGAGGTTGCGTGCTCAGACGAAAATAGAATTATGTTCGTGGTTCAACAGGAGGGAGGCTTAAAGTTCTAGTGGAAAAGCTGAATTGAACAACTTCCCTTTACTTCTGCACATCGACGATGTAGTCGCGCTTTGAAGAAGTGGATAGGGAAAAGACAGGTGTGCCCTGTCAATTCCCAGTCCGCGTCTTCAAAGCGCATCCAGATCAACGCTCATCGGAACGCCACGACATGTATTTAGCAAGGCGCCCGTGGGCCACGTGAGCCACGCGCTACGTCCAGCCCCTCAATGTAGCCGCTAGACGTTGCTCCGAACACCTCATAAAATATGCGCGAGAAATACTGAAGCAGCAAACTGAAACACACCACGAAAACACCTCTGGAACCTTGAAAAAGCATTGCCGGAAGTGCCGCACCGGAAGCCAGCTGGGGTAGGCCGTTTGGTGAGAGCCCAGTTTGTTTACAAACACCGAAACCGTCTATAAAAGCCACAGAAAGAGAAAGCACCCCTGCGCACATGTGACGCGCTTTTTATTTCCCTCTGTCCGCGCTTTTGAACACTCACTGCGTGCCACAGCATTCATGCGCGACGCAGTACCGCGTGTCACTGGCACGCGCGTTCCTTTCAGTGCGCTTGAGAGTGTTCCCGCGCTCTTGTGGAACGCAGACAGCGTTCTCGTCGACGAGCACCGCTTGAGAGCTCCCATCCCTTCCCAAGTCTTTTCCCTTCCAGCTATTTATTCCCTCCAAAAGAATGTGCACCTCGAACACCACTCCTCCCGTAGAACAGCGTGAGCCTGTGCACTCTGGCGTAAGCTCGGATGGCAACTTGAAGTGGCTTATGTGGAGGCAGCCCTGCATCGCTACTACGCAGCTCACACCGTTGCATTCACCGACAACTCCCTTCGGCCTGTCATCACTGCCTCTGTCTCTATTTCCACCTTTGTCGAGGCTGAAGAGGCAGCCATTGCCCTCGCCACAACACAAACGTCAGCAGAATACATTTTCTCCGACTACAAATCCACCGTATGCAACTACGTGGTCGGACAGGTAGCATCCCCGTCCACAGGCATCTTGC